TCTTCCTCTCTTCACCTGTCAATATAAATTAAAGTCCACCCACAAAATGAAAACCATCCTCTTCCATTGTTAAAGGACCACATGGTGCCTCCCACCCTGAGTTGCCCTGAGGGAAGGAGTAATGATGGAGGAATTGCAAACAGTTTCACTTGGTGAGGCTATACCTCACCATTGCCACATGGGTCACACAGGAGGATTCCTTATCTTCTTTGCCCTACATGTTCACAGAGAACCCAGTGCTGCAGGCAGAGAAAGCTCACCTTGAACCTGAGATAGGAGCATCAGGCAGGAGAGCAGCATCCAGGACATTCTGGGCAGGGCCATGGGAGGCAGCATCGTGTCCTTGACTTGAAGAAGCAATCAGAGTTCATTAAAGAAATGTGGTCAGAGGGAGGACATTCAGAAAACGTCTGTTCTCCCTCCTGTCTTTCCCTTTGGCTAGTCCCTTGGGAATAAATTGATCTTAGTGACATTTATACCCTTCTGTGACTCTGGAAATAATCGGAGAATCTGCATACCTTACTTCCTTTGATGCTTAAGTTCTTTGAAGCCTAGAATCCTCCTCCAGCCTTCCCCCAAATGTGTGAGGTAACCCTCTGCCATGGCCCTCACCTTCTCTCAGCTCCCACTTACCTCTTTTAGCAGGTATCTGGGATGGTTGGTCAAGTCAGAAAAGCCTAGGTTTTTATAAGAGGATCTGAGGGTGGGACCTGAAATGAATAATAGGAATGCGGATCCAGGACAGGGATAGCGGGAAATGGCTTGGCATTGGTTCAAGGAGATTTGTGGCATGGGGAGTAGGCTGTTCCTGGCAATGGCTGGGAATTGCCACAGCTGTTGTTTCTTTCCTCTTAGCAGGCATGCACTTTGCCCAGAAAAAGATGAAGTTTGCTCTTTCTCCTGCTATTTCTTGTTACTGGCCTGTGGCACAAGGTGGTATTAAATTTTTAAGGGGGGCACCTCCTGGAGTAGTTCTTTTGGTTGATATCTCACTTCTATAGACATATATATGCATTTCTTTCTATCTTTTATGGTCCAATTAAATCAATGATGGACTACAAGGGGAGGTGAGAATGAGAATGATAAGGGTCACAGATTGGTGAGGGCATAGAAAGAACTAAAGCTAAGTACGAGTGATGGTTCAGAGTTGTCTCTTAAACATGGTAGCTAGTTTGAAAGAAAATCATCAGTTATTCAGAATCATCTGTCAAATCAATATATGAGCCAAGATCTAAAGCAAATCAGAAGAGTGAACTCGTCTTGCCAGTTGTCTGAGAGATGGAGCTTCCCTGATGGATAATGATGGCACTGTGATAGAACAGGAGGCAATGAAGGAATCTAAAACCTAAGGATGGTGACAGTCCAATGATGCAGAGCCAAAAGAAGAATGAGTAAGGGTTAAAAAGGGCTTCGAGCAGGAACACGATAAAATCGGAGACAGGATCTATATTGCATGGAAGTTAGGCCTCTACTCCATCAAGATGCTCACTGCCCTAGGCTGCTAACAACTTTCTTACAGACTGTCATTTGGCTTAGAGAAATATCATTTTTAAAAATATATTTTATTGATTTTTACAAAGAGGAAGGGAGAGGGATAGAGAGTTAGGAACATCGATGAGAGAGAAAGATCAAACAGCTGTCTCCTGCACACTCCCTACTGGGGATGTACCCGCAACCTAGGTACATGCCCTTGACCGGAATCGAACCTGGGACCTTTCAGTCTGCAGGCCAACGCTCTATCCACTGAGCCAAACCGGTTCGGGCGATAAATACCATTTTTATTACATTCTTACTGTCAGGGTTGACAGGTTCACAGAGGGATACTAAGTAAAGCTCCTTAGTCAGATTTACTTCTGAGTTGGCAATTTTGGCAATGGAGGCACATACCATGTAGTTCAGCTTCAGTTTGGTCACTGTGGGAAAAATTTAAGCTGGGATTTTCCACAGACCTTGCCTCTCATACTATTATTACAGGCTAGCTTATTGGCAGATGTCTACAGTAGGGATTCCTCATGGAATCCTTAAATGAAGGTCAAATTTATTCATGTCCTCAGAATCCAAAAGTCAGTAGAACCCACAAATAACCTAATAAGCAGTATAGCCAACAAATCCTTTTGTTAAAAGAAAAAAATAAATTATTTTACAACACATACACAAAAATATGTAAATGCAAAACATAACTAAAGGAGAGCTCCATGGAAATTAAAGTTTAAAATAATATTTTATGCAAAGGTGATAGTAAAGATGATTTGAGAATTAAACTTGCTGCACTAAAATAATTACTTGAGAATAATAACTATAATAACTATCACAAATACATAATGGAGTATACTCTTGACTTCCTGAAAAATTCAGTGGCATAGAGGGGGGAAAAACATACCCACATTTTAGATTAAAAGAGCTTAAACAGATATAAAAACCTAATCTAGTGAGTACATTTTCATTGTATCACTATTAACAAAGTAAGTCATTTCAAGGACAATTGTGTAATATAATTATAGGCAGAAAGTTTATGATGGCAGACTTCTAAATTTTATTTCTTGTGATAATGGTATAGTTAAAAGAAGAATTTCCTTACACCTTCAATATTTATGGTGAAGGACTTAGAAATAAAGTGTCATGATGTCTGCAACTTGCTTTCAAATTATTCAAAAGAGAAGTGTGTGTGTACTGGGGGAAGGGAGAGATGGAGAGAAAGAGACAGAGAGAGAGATGGGCCAAGAACAGAGAAGCAAAGCAAATATTATAAAATGACAATTACTGAATCTAAGCAGAAGATATAACTTCTAATAATATTTTTTAATGTTTTTATATGCTTAAAATTTCCAAATAAGTTATAGTTCAATTTACATGATCCCTATCAATAATAACACATTTCCCCATCACTAAGCAAAAGCTAGAAATAGCATAATAGAGCAATACTATTTATGTAAATCATATATGCACATATGCATTGAAAATAAAATTTTAAAAATTCAAAAAAATATTAAAGTGTTATAAATAAATAATAAAATATCTGAATGGTTCATGAGTGGCTACCTGACTTTTTCCTACAAAAAAAATAAAAACAAGGAAATTAATATGAAATGATCATTATTCAAATGCCAATATTCTGTGTTCAACCTTTAAAAAATCATCTTCCATGAGAATTACATTCTAAAAAATATGTTTTTATTGATTTCAGAGAGGAAGGGAGAGGGAGAAGAAGAAAGAAACATCAGTGATGAGAGAGAATCTTCATGACTTTTTCCTACAAAAAAAATAAAAACAAGGAAATTAATATGAAATGATCATTATTCAAATGCCAATATTCTGTGTTCAACCTTTAAAAAATCATCTTCCATGAGAATTACATTCTAAAAAATATGTTTTTATTGATTTCAGAGAGGGAGGGAGAGGGAGAAGAAGAAAGAAACATTAGTGATGAGAGAGAATCTTCGATCAGCTGCTTCCAGCAGGCTCCACACTAGGGACAGAACCCACAACCCAGGCACGTGCCCTGACTGGGAATCCAACTGTGACCACCTGGTTCATAGATCGATGCTCAACCACTGAGCCACAGAAGCCCAGCTGGAGTTAAATTTTTTGATTATCAGAATCCACCTTTTAAAACAGAGCTTACACACTATTGAGTGTGGAAAACTTCTGAGTCATTCACTTTTCTATAAGAAGCAAAATTAAAGGCGGCTCTCCATGATCGCATACTTTTCAAGCTGTACTTGCTTTACTGGCCTCCCAAATTTTCCTCATTACCAGGTAGAAGACAGTTAAGTTCAGATCTTCCCAAGAGAAGTTATAAAAGTCACTTTTTAAATTTTTACTTGAAATAATGTGGTATTTATAAATAATTTCCCCGATGTAAGATTTTTGTTTCATGTGATACCTCACAAACCTCACTAAAATTTAGTTGTTTTTGTT